GAAGGAAAAGCAAAAGTTTGAGCCTGGGTATTGGTATGCAACAATATTCATCACAACGATTGGGGGCATTACCTTCTTGGTGTCATAGACGTAAACGATTTGCTTTCCAAGGGTATCTGGATCATTCCCCTTTCCTTCGACAAGCTTGAAGCCAGCCTTTGTAGCCTCGGCTTCGACAAGTGGATAACTGGCATGACTGGTTCCACCTGGTAGTCCAAGCAGTGATCGGTATTCGCCTCCCTTGTCTCCTGGGTCGACGCGATCTGTGAAAAACAAAAATTAACATTTTTTAGTGCATGTCGGTAAGCCGGTCACTCGATTCCAGGCCAAATCGTATATATGCCTACCTTTGGTCCTTGGATTGTAAAGGGAGAAATAAAGTGCAGAAAAGTCCTTGATCTTGGATTGAGGAATGGTCATTCCAACAACCTCCCCATGTCCAAGCTGTAGACAACAAAGTTAGTTGGAGCGGTTAGTCGTCTGTCAAAAGTCAAAAAACAATCTGTCGCACATGACAATATAAGATAAACTCACCTTGCCGTAATCTAAAAGTTGAAAGCGATACAAATGAGCGAAAGAGTTAGTTTCGAGCGTTCTTGTAGTTGCATTCGTCAATGAAATCATTTGGTCTTTTGGCAAGCAGCAACAAGAACTTACCTGCAACGCCTTGGAAGTTGTGATAACACACACGGCCTTCCTTGTCCGTCGATTTTCCACCAGCGTACCCAGCAGCAGAAGTTAGCTGGTGATCATTGCGCCCAAGGATGCTTCGTTCCCCATCAATGAATTCATGTTGGATATGCCAAAAGCACTGTTGACAGAGTAATGAGAATGGCAAGGAATGAATGAAAGAATGGAATCACAGAAGGTGAGAGATATTGATTCATTCAGCATATTGTAACAGTCCCTGTCATCCAATTGCGTCGCAGTCTGTCCTGTCCAGAGAAACTCTTTTCTTCAAGTCCCAATCACTTCGCTCGTCTCCTCAAACAGTCCTAGTCGTAATTTTATAAAAAAGCAGCACTTACTCCTACACCAAAATACAAGGGGGTCAAGGTATCTTCTTCAGCCGCAACAACCACATCCTCTGCCAACGCCAATCGTGAGTTGCTTCCGAGTCCTCCCAATAGCATGGCTGTGGCTCCCGCTTTGGCCAAGAGGTTGCGTCGTGAGACTTCAGGGTTGGAGGGACCACGAATGCTGTTGTTGTTATTGTTGTTGTGGTTGCTGCTGTAGGCAATGGATGGAACCACGTAGGCCATCAATAAGGCCAAGGAGGCGATACTGTTACCAATCTTCATTTTTTTCTTTCGAGTCAGTCGCTTGTTGAGATTTTCCAAAGGAAAGAAGAATGAATGAATCAAGCACAAAGGAAGGTGCATTCATTCGTTGATTTCAATGATTCATTCGTTGCCCAGATGTCATTTCAGTCATGACGTCACTTTTTCAACAATAGTCGGAAGAATCAATCAAATCTGACGGACAAATCGTTCTTTCTCCGATCCGCGACTTTCCTTTTTATACCTGTACTTCGCCTTGTGTGTCCCTTGCCTTGCTGCTTCCTGCGTTCGTTCTGATTCGTGTTTCTTACTCTTGCTTCTGGTGCGTTGACATCTATTATATTGTGCGTCTCCCACCACATAATAGCATTCCAGCTTTCTCACCAAAGTAACACTTGCTATCCAATCGTATATCAAAGAAACATTGCATATAACAAAGAACAATGTCAGAAGGAGGACTTTTAGCCTGGAAAAGGCAAGAAATTGATGTTCGTCGTGGACCTGCAGGAGAGTATGTCAATGTGCACAAACCATTACCTAATCCTCCCAGAGGAATGCACTGGGTGTTGAATGAAAAGACCAAGGAATGGAGTCTGGAAAAGAAACCAGAAGTGGTTGTGGCAGAAGTCGTTGACGAAGATAGCAAAGAGCAACCTCCTGCATTCATTGAACATGAGGTCACGAAAACAGACACCTTTGCTGGCATCTGTTTGCGTTACAAAATCACCCCCACAGAACTTCGACAAGCGAACGGGGGCTTCAGCGGCACAAATCTATTCCTTGCTCCGCAACCACTGAGGATTCCAAATACCAAAGGACAGTGTCAAATGGCAAAGGCTGTTCCAGTTGGAACGCAAACACGATCCCAGAAGATGAATCGTCTAATGTCCGGATGTCGTGGTATTTCTTCTTCCGAAGCCAAATGTTATCTAGAACTAAATGACTGGAATCTTGAAGAGGCGATTGTTAATGCAAAGGAGGATGGATTCTGATGTCTGATTGAGTCATCCTTGTGAATGTAAAATTAGATACTATCCTTGTTCGTATTATTACTTTTTGTTGCTTTTAGAACAAAATCTTCTCCTTTTATCAATCACATGCTCCTAATACGGCAAAGAAACACCATCAGCACCAGCACCGACTTATCAACGCTTGAACTCACGCATTTTGAAGTGGTGAGAAGAATGAATCACAAAGAGTTTCAATAGATACCGGTAGCTCTTTTCGAGAAGTGCAATTTGTCAGCTCAATGTCCACAGAGGTTGGCAATCTCCCATTTTTCGTCTCCTCGCCAATGTGCACAAGCAATCGTTATGCCTTGGACGAACTAGAGACATCTTTAGCAAAACTTTATAAACGTATCAACTATCGAGTGTCAATTTTGATCAAGCCCCCGTTGTAGAACCGCAATCCAACAGCAAACAGAAGGAGAGGCACTAAGTTCATGTATGGTTACGCTATCCTTCTATTGCATTTGAGTTCTTTAAGAATTCGTAAAGTTTGATTCCGTAGTCTTATTGAAACCTTCAAAGATAACTTTCACAGTGTGAAGAAGAATTCGACTCTACACTTTTGCAAAAGAAAGAGTTGCCTTAATGCTTAGTTACATGAAATGACGTAATCAGCTTCCTTGTTTGCAACCAATAACATCATCTTTGTTTACTGCTCTAAATCCGCTGAATTATCAATCAATGCAAAGTAGCCAACTTCATAGCCCGACCCACCATTTTCGTCCAACAAGTTGACTACCCCTTCCACGTTGACAGTGCTTCCAATCATATTCAGATCCCCTTTGAATTCACGTCTGACGGTATAATCAAATTCACCCATATCCGTTGAATGTATCTGCTTCATTCCACCTCCATATTTCCGATACAGGAGCATTCGAAAGGGATTTGAAGCTTCATCGACCATGGACCATCGTCCTTCGTATCCAACAAATTTGGGTCCATCGGTATCTGATAGAGTGACAGTGCCGTCTGGGTTTAACCAAATGCGAGTTTGTTCGACATCTTTGTCTTCCTTTTCTTCCAATTGAAATTCTCTCGCTGCCAATATTGCCACCTTTTCATCAAATGCCATGGATTGATCTTGCAATAGCATTGCGGACGTTCTCTGTAGGATGATGGTGTAGGTTGTTTGGTTGTAAGGATTGATTCATTTATTGATTCATTTTTGATATCAGCGAATTTTTTATTGGAAACAGAATTGACGGAACAGCGTATATGATGACACAAATGATGAAAGGAAGAACAACATGGATGAGTCATTGTGTGATTTATTCTATTGAATGACACCACATGAGTGAAAAAATCATGTCAGATGACATACCATTGAATTTCCATTTGTAACAAAGGCTTTGGCCGAAGATGCGATAAGTAGGATTGAAAGGATCGTTCGGAACATTTTGGATTGAGTTGTGGCTGAAAGTTGATGGATGTTTGCCTGTTGGTGTTGATAATGTTGTGTGTCGTAAGTTGATGATGGAAGATCTAATGATCGGATTGTTCTCGTTGACATGACGAACGAGGGTTCCTTGGTCGACTCAACCGACCTGCTTTGCAACGTAAAGACATACAGACGTCGAACCGTTATTTCGAACACCAGCACGTTGGCGATTTTTACAGTACGAAACTCCGGCAAGACGATGGACAAGGAATCTTCTGGTCTTGCGCTTGGATTTTACTGCCGATTGAATTTTTGAATAGCATATATTATACAATTGGATAGACAAAATGGTGGGTAACAGTGGAGATACGGTTCGACTTGAGCGCGAGATAGAGACTTCAAGATAGTTTTGTGTCAACAATGCGATACACATTCTGTGCTCAACAAGGCGAATGTCTTTTGCATACAATATCTGTTTTTGGTTTCACGACTTGCACGCCCATGTGCAATACTCATTTTGATTGTCCCATGAAATCATGTTCCGTTCTTAACTCAATCTTGACACACTTTTAGGAAGTCGGAAAACTAGTAGCTGTTATTGGAGACGAGGATACCGTCACTGGATTTTTGTTGGCCGGTGTTGGACACCGAACCGCCCAAGGTTCCAATTTTTTGGTAGTCAAGGGCGACACCAAATTGCAACAGGTGGAAGAGGCCTTCAAGGCTTTCACAACAAGAGACGACGTCGGCATCATCTTGATTAATCAGCATGTTGCCAATGATATTCGACATGTCTTGAAGGATTACAATGCCACCATTCCTACCGTGTTGGAAATCCCATCGAAAGAGCACCCTTACGATCCCGAACAAGATTACATTATGCAACGTGTCAATATGTTTTTGGGAGGAGGTACCTAAAGATACTGTTCCGGTATATATTAGGATATATAATAGAATCCCAACTGTTATATTATATTATTATTATTATATATCGTATTCTACTGAAGTGAATTGTAGCTTTGCATGTCTTCAACTTCGAACTGTTGGATGGCGTGACACATGTGATAAATCTCATACACACACCTGATCAACCAGTACTAACTCATATCGATTAATTTGCCAGTAATAACTAATATCGATTCTATGTTTATCGCATCAACAAAAAGCTATGAATCTCATTGCAAAAGTCTTCAAAGTCTTTGCGGAACCGGATGCGGTTCTGTCGACCTTCGTAACCTGGACTTCCTGCCTTGGCCAGAATTTCTGGTTTCAACAAGACTTGAAAGGAGTGGGACAGTCGCTGTTGGTTCTCGGCTGGCATTTGTTGCGCTATTGATTGGACGACAGCGGCAAATCGATTCAAATCCAAGGCCGCCAAGCTCAGCAGTGCGGCACCTGTGGCTTCAATTCGATCCCAAATGATATTCTGAAAGACAACGTCCATCAGCAAACGCCGAGAGCACTTCTCAATCAAGGCGGGACCTTGTGGTGACGACAAGTGCATGTCCAATACCTTGTTTTGTATTTGCTCCTTCAAGATTCCAGAAATGCCATAAAAGGATGCCTTGGCGACACTGGGGTCATGATAGGACATGCCGAATAGCAAGGATTCCAGCAGTGCATCAAAGAGCTCGAATGGTAGTTGACCAACCTCGTCGGGATAGGTTTCCATCATAAAGCCCACCAAGGAGAAATACTGTTTACATAATGTGGGAAATTGCAAGAGGCCTCGGGTCATTAGCGGCAGAATTTGTTGCAAGCCAAAGAAGATCATCTCTGTCACTTGCGAAGAATTGATAGCACCATCTTTTCCAACATCTAAAAAATCCTTGGTTCCCAGTTGAATCAACAATTGAATCGCACACAAGACGTCGGTATAATTCTGCTCTTCCTCAACATCATTCTTGATGACGCGGGTCGATGCACAGTGAACACTTGAATAGGCCTTTAGCAAGTCAGCTGACGATTGGAACAAGGCCAAGCAGTCTTCCGGATCCAAAATAGCAATGAACTGTTCCGCGTAATCTCGAAAGAATCGCAACAAACCTTCGCAAATGATCAAATCATTGGCATAAAAGGCCATGAGGCCCGACAAGTGCGACAGAGAGGGTGTCAGAAATTTGGGAATCCGATTGGGTTCCACCATTTCACCCGTTCTTGCCACTCCACCATAGAGTTCGACACATAAACTAGTCATTTCCTTGGCATCCACTTGATCTGGTGTTGCTTGCCGTGTACTACATCACATGATTTGAATGATTCGGAAAAAAGGTGGAACGTTAGAACAAGAGAGTTTTGTTTGCCAACGAATTCCTCCACAGTCAAACAAAAGGTATGTGTGTGTGTGTGTGTGTATCATCACAACAACAAAAACTTACGACAATACATGGACCAAGGAAGAAAATACGTCATGGATGGCTTTGAAAATTTCATTTAGCATGGCATTCGACTGTGCATCATCCTTTTCACTACATGCCACAATTAGACCAGTCACAATCTTGGATTTAATATCGTAGGGAAGACGTTGGTATCCACGTAACATGTCCAGCGAAAGGTTGGCTCCACCGGCCTTGGCTTGGACCGTGGCTTCCACTTCCTCTGGTGGTGCACTATGTCGAATCCCACTAGTCACACAATGGAATTGACACAGTTGTTGAAAGGATGGCGAAGATACCATTGCGAGTCGCATCTGTACAATTGTGTGTGAAAGACAATAAAAAAGGTGGTGAGACTCAAGAGCGAAACTAAAAGTCAATACCAGTTCTTCTAATGGTCCATACCTTGGTACATCGTTTTGCCAATGAAAAAAGTAGGGCTGTGGCACTCTCTTGGACTTGACCCTCGTGTGGCCAATAACAGTGGTAATGTAGCGACAATGTCAAACAAAAATAGACGGCTTCTTGGATCTTCTCCGCACTGGACCAGGCTGCTAGAATGGGACTCTTGTTGGTCAATTCCGAGTAGCCAAGGGGTAATATGTAGGCAGGTGCCCATCGATTTAGAAACCACAAAAAGGACTTGGCGAGCAATGGAGACAATCTAAGATCCGATGGATTCGCGGCAATTTTTGTCACTTGGAATTGAGCAAATTGATTCAAGGTAGATACGGCTTGAACAATGGAATTGGTGACGGATGGATCCCGTTCGCAGGCATTGACGACAAAATCTGGAACCTGTGGTGACTCTCCTTCATTGTCATCTGTCAACAAGTGCCCAATGTACATGGTAAGCAATCGCGATTCCTCCAATAGTCCTGCAGCCTCTGGAGAAACACCACCCGCCGCACCATTCCAGAGGGCCTGCAATTGTGGCACAATTTTCTGAAAAGAAGCCGAAAGACACGCCAAGGCTGCCCCAAGATTCAGTCGTCCAACATTGGACAAGGATGCCATTTCTTCTTCTAAATCCACTGCAAATATTTCTTCCTTGAGTTCGTCTAGTTCTGTTTCATGTGCCGTCAAGTATTGTTCTTCCAATCGTGCCATTCCAGTCCGACAGTGTATGAATTCGGCATAGAGTGGCCCCAAGGTGGATGCTAGTGCAGCGCTGGCCGCCGTGCGTTGTGCTTCATCCCCCGAATACAATAGACATGGATCACCACACACTAGTACAATCCCCTCCAATAAGAGCGTCAAGGCTTCTTCCCGCCACTCTCGATGTTCCATACATTCGACATCTCCATGGACCGATTCACATTCCTTTAGATTCTCTTGGAGCAAATGTTTTCCAATCATGGCCATGTTGGTAAAGAGTTGATTCATTTGTGGCAACTGTATTAAAATGGACATTTTGTAATTGACAATGAGCCGTGAAATCATGGCAAAGGTATCCAATAGCGAGGATGATTCTTGTGCGGCTGCCGACGTGGCATCCGACAACAATCCCAAGACTCCCTCCATCAAAAAGTTGGCAAAAGCCTTGCGCTCATCGATGCTCTTGAACATCGGTCCATGCACCGATGCCAGTAGCAGCAAAAGTTGCCGCAAGGAATGTCCCAACACCTGTTGGCCTTGCGTATGGACCACCAAGTGGTGCAAATGAAAGACCGCTTTGATGAATTCGGGATGCATCAAGTATTCCCTCCAAGTATCGGGTGGTCGAATGACCGTCCGCGCCAAGACGGACATGCCCATGATGGAAGAATCCCAGGCATCGATAAAGTCCCAACCAATGATATCAATGGTCAATTGGACGACCGAGGTGGCCAATTCGGTTTGCAACTTGTCCAATGATGGTGCAGGCGCAGAAGAATTATAAATGGAAGTACAATAATTGACAATTTGACTGAGAGCTTGCATGCACATTTGGAGTGATTGATCCAACCAATCACTGCCAAAGTCCATGTGAGCCCGTTTGTGAAATTCCAAGGCCATGCTGTAATTCGACGACGATTTGCCGGCAAATTCTCCAATGAGCGTGGACAAAAAGGTGGAAGCTTCCAACATTGGGACACCCGGTTGTGCTTG